CAGTGCCGTTCGCGATAGTTTGCGCATCCGCGGTTTGCGCAAACGCGCTCGTCCACCATATTTTCCATAATTCGCGTAATTATGTTTATTTTTTTTTTCCATTAAAATAACTTGACAGCTTGTTTGTGTTATTTTCGAGCATTTTTTTTCTCGCGTCTACAACGCAAACGGCGCGTAAAGAAGAACCGAGCATTATTCTCCTCGTTACCGCCTTCATCTCCTCCGTTATCGGCTTATTACATTTTGTCCTCGTTCGCCTTCCATCACTTTCCTCGGAGGACGCGAAGGCAATCTTTCCCGAAACGACGTGCTATTACCCTCGTATCGATTAGACCGGTCGGAGCGAAGAGTTTTGAAAGCGCGTATCTCTCTTGCGCCGAGAACCTCTTCTTCGCATGTAATTAAAAATAAAAATAAAAAAAAAGATAAGGAGCGCAAGAGAAAGAAGAAGAAAAACAGAGTCGTTCCGCTCGATCGATGCAAAATTGTTCCTCCTACACGCGTGATGAATCGCGTCGTCCGTTGAACGCCGTCCATGAACGAGACACATGTGTGCGGAGATCGCTAGCTCGCGGTCTTACAAAGGGAGAAATAGGGATGGGAGGGGGAGTTCTCGGAGTAATTGTGCAATGTGTGCAGACCATGTAGTCTATAGTTGGTATTGCACGTATATAATATATATACATATACCATACATATGTATATATATCTAATAATAATAATGATAATAATATATATATCATCGTATCCTTCATCATCATCATTATATTTATACTGGTATAATTAATTACTCGCTTAGATATGAAACCTAATAGGAACATGATTGCACCGTGCCCGTTTTTTCCGCACGATGTTGGCGCCTTCGATTGCGGCTCCGCCGCCTTTGCACGCTTCTTCTTCTTTATTTCGGTTTTATATCGGGACATCGCACACGCGTGTGTATGTGTATGTGTGTGTGTGTGTGTGTATGTAGTGCGCGTGCGTGCGTCTTTCACGCTCGCGTGTATATATAATAATAATTTTCTTTTTTTCACCTCGCGCGTATTACAGGTACAGCCGTGTGTTTCGTCGTCTTCGCCGTGTGATGACACCACGTCGTCGTGGTATCATCGCGTTCGCGTTTTTCACATCGTGTGTGTGTATGTATGTGTGTGTGCGCGCGCGCGTCGTGTTTGCGTTTCGCGCGCGTACAACACATCGGCCCTCTCTTTGCCGCGGAATCTAAACGCGTCGCACGCGCGCGTATGTTTACGCGTTTTACGGCACCCGCGCGAACGGGACAATAATAAGTCTGTACACACAAGTGAGAATACGTCGGATATCTCTCGGAGCGCTGACCGGACTCGTTTTCCGTCTTTCTCTCTCTCTCTCTCTCTCTCTCTCTTTTTTTCCTCTACCCCGCGCGCTCGATCATCGATCGTGTGAAATCATTACCCCGGAGTGTTACGTCCGCGCGACACGACGAGCGAGTTTAAACGGAGAGAGAGAGAGAGAGAGAGAGGGAGAGAGAGAGAAGCGGAGAAAAGGTTCAATGAAACAAGTCCGCGCGCGCTTTCGCCGACTGACTAGAACAAAAGATGCGACCTGTATCGACCTGTTAACTTAATGTCATGAAGGGCACGATGGGGTGAAGCGCAACAGAACGCCTCGAACGTGAACGTGAAAAATTACGCTGCGCGCCTTTCCCGTCGTGGCAAAAATTCACAGCCTACTTTTCCTCGCGGTGGGATGTACGCACACACGCACACACACACACACACACATACACACACACGGTGTATTCTTCTTCTATTGCGTCGTATAATCTCGATTTCGCCGGTTGTTTCGATGCGCGTTAGTTTTTTCTTTTTCTTCGCATTTCAGCAAATTTCGCAAAGTTCGTCGTCGCCGTCCTCTTTGCGCCTCCGCGGTTTTACAAAAAAGGATCTGGCGAGAGGCGCGAAAAGCAGGCGCGTCGTCGTCTGTCGTTTTGTTTGTTCTCTGTTTCTGCGAACAAATGGAATTGTTGTCTTTTTTTTTTTTTTGCCTCGTCTGTTACGCTCGATTTTCGCGCGCCAAGCCGATGCGCGGCGCCAACATCATCGGGGTTGCCCGGGCCGGCGTTTCGGGTGCATCGCGCCACCGGTGGGTTTGCGAGCCCACACGAGGCTCACGGTGCCCCATAGTGAGTACATATAGATATACACATGGCAATCTCTCACAAGAATTAATCGCTATCGTTTATCAATTAGTATCCATTATTAATTAATAGTCAATCAAGTACCGCTCGAACAAATTCGCAAGTCAATCGGCAATAATGACGTAGTAATAATAATAATCATAATAATCATAATAATAATAATAATCATAATAATGCAATAACGCAATAATAATGATAATAATAATCGTGGTAATAGTGGTATAATAATCGCAATAATAATAGTCACAATAGCAATATTATATGCAATCAATAAAGTTAATAATAATAAATAGACACGTTCAACGTATTTTTTTTTTGCTTCTTTTTTCGTAGAAACTCAACGACGAATTACAAAAATGAAAAAACCTCGACGTCACCGCGCGGCCCCTCTCCGTCGTCGAAACGTTGTTGTTGTTGTTGTTATTATTATTATTATCAAACGTTGATATTCTCCTCTGGTCTGGCTGGCTAGTGTGTGACGCTCCATGGTCAGTGTCCATTACCGACCAGAGGTTGCGTTGCGCAAGCGAGACAAGCTCGCAAATTGTTTCCCGACCATCTCTCTTCCGCGTCGAGCAAAAAGCCGCGCCAGCGGAAAGTTTTCTCTTGTAAAAAAAATTGCGCTGTCGATGATCCTCGCGATCGATTCTCGCGCGTCGCGCCCGATTCCGATCGTCGACCGCGTCGCGCTCGCGGGAGAAGAGAGAGGGACGATCGTACGTTACGATACGTTTACACGTGCGTGTAAGAGAGAGAGAAGGTGATGGGTTTATCGACGGGGGAAAAAAAAACGGGGCGCACGGCGGCGTCGACCGCGCTTATTTAATTCTTCTCTCGCAACGCAGTAATATATATATATGTATATAGCATTCGTTTCTCCTCATAATCGTTCTTCATCATATCGTTTAAATTATCTCACCACTCCGTTACATAATCCGCGCACGCTTTATCACTCACTCATTGTTGATTTTTAGGAACAGCTAGCGAGGTTCGGTTACTCTATCACGCAATCTCCCGTCACACTCGAAACTCAAAACGCCAAAACCGACGGCGCCGGTTTTGCGTACACGCGCACGTACGTAGCCGCGTTTTGAGAGTCACGCTCGTATGCGATGTGTAGCTCCGAGTAGTTCGTCGTACACAAAATTCGATCTTTGTGTGTGTGTGCTGTGTGTACGTGTGTATGTATGTGTGTGTTCTGTGTGTACGTGTGTGTGTCTTGTTTGCTTGGTATGGTGTTTGATTACAATCCACACGCGACAACAACGCGTCGTCCTTCCTCGTTTGCGAACGAATTCGAAAAACTAAGATCGCGTTGGGTAATACCGTATCGAAGCGCGCATCTAAATTGTGCGTTCAAGTGCAGTTTTTTTTCTTCGCTTTTCTATGACTACACGTAGGAAAAAACACGGCACAGGGAAATAAATTTCGCTCTCTCGCAGTCTTAGCGTCTCGGCGCGTTTTTTTTCAGGCGTCGTGGCGCTGGTTTTTTTTTTTTTGGAACATCTTGCCTCGTGCTACATAGTGGTAGTGATAAAAGTGGGTGGTTTTGCCATTCACAACGAAGACAGATTCGCGCGCGCGCGCGCGTGTGCTCGCGATTTCGCGACGATCGCTTCAATTTAAATTCTAAACAAGATTCAAACAATCGCGCCCGAATAATTTATCTAGTTTTATTTTGCGAGGTATCGGTTATTTTGCGAGGTATCGGTTCAAGAGAGATGAGATTCCGCTTTAGGTTGGTTTTTTTTTCTTCCCCCGGTACGTCCTGTAAAGGTGGATCGTGCCGGTTAGAGTAAAGACTGAGAATTTCGACAAATAGCGAATCGATTTGACGTTTTTTTTTTTTTTTTTTTTTTTTAACAGTGTTTGTGTTCGTGTGTGTGTGTGTGTCTATGTGTGTGCTGCGTGTACCTTTTGGAACGTGTACCGGTGTTAAATGTACGCTATAGTTCAAAAACGCTGTAACGTTTATATAGATAATAATCAATACACATGACCACATATACATGTAAATATAATATCGTAATCTATATAATCATAATAATAATAATTCAAATATAATAGTAATAATCGTCGTTACCAACGTGTTTACGTTAGAAAAAGCATCTTTTGCAGACAGGAACCTCGAGTTGCTTAGTTACCTTACAAATATAGTTATTACTTCGCGTTTTTTCTTTTTTTTTTTTTTTTCGTTTGATCTGAACGACCACGACGTGTGTGTTCACAACATTTCCGAATCCTCAAACGCCCCACCCCCGTCCCTTAGAAACGAAAATTCGTCGATCTATTATCTATACGTATCCGGCGAGCCCTCCCTCCCTCCCTCCCACCCCCCCTTTTCGTATCGCTCTTTCCTTTTAACCCACGCGACGTCCCTATTTTTTCCAAAAACCCCGGTATACCCTTTTTTTTCTTTTTTTTTGTTTTAAATCTAATGATTCGCGTGAATTTAAGACTGCGGCACGTAAAACGCCGCGGCATCTTCTTCTCTTTGCACTTCCGGTGGCACTTCCGGCATTCCGCAGCCTTTCGCATACGCGCCGCAATTATATGTAAGCGCGAACTTTCGTTTTTGTTTTTGTTTTTTTATTTTTTATTTTTTTTTTGTTTTCTTCGTAAGCGCCCTAGAGCTGAGTTTGCTAGAGCGAGGAACACGACGTACGTACGCGTGTAGACACACGTCACCGTTCCGGATAGTACCCGCGCAAGAGGACTTCTCTAGTACGTCACAACATCATATATATATATATTTATTTATATATGTATATATATATTTATCTACTTAAATATATATATATATTTTCTTATTTATTCACTTCATTTTTTTTTATTTATATATATATACTTCTTTTTTTTCTGTATGTATACCTATATATGTAAAGTGCGTGTGTTTAGTTTTGTGTCTGTGTGCCGTCTCAATCGACGCGCATGTACCTCCGTTTCCCTCTTTTTATATATTCCTATGTAAGTTTATTAATCGTAATTTTTTTTTCCTCGTAACTTAACAACTAATAGTGAATTCTTTGTCGTTCACGGTCGTCTCACGCGATTCCTTCTTCGCGTTTCCTTTCTCCCTCTTCCTCGACATGTGTCTCTTTACTATTTTTGCTCTTTAAAGTAATTTCTTCTTTAATTCTCCTGGAGAAGGTGTCAAAATTTTTTATTATGATCGCGTTAAAATCAAGTCTCGATTTTATCCGTCTGATAAAAAAATGTTAAAATGTCTCTTATGTTTTTATATTTTGTGTATTTATATTTTTCCTCCAAATGTTTTAAATAATGTTGCGCGTATACGTTGTTCGATTTGTTTCATTTGTTCGAAGAAGAGAGAGATCGGAGAACGCAGAAATTACACAAATCTGTCCCTTCGACGGTGGTGCCGGGCCATCATCCCCCTCCCCCCCCCGAGCGTCGATGTGTGTGTTGATCGTTTATTTTCGATCATCGAGCGTTGCTTAGCGAGATAATCGTTTACAGCTACCGACATTTTCTCTAATACCTATTGTTATTACTATCATTATTATTACTATAATTATTATTACTTATTATTATAATTAATAGTATCATTATTATCGTTAACGTTATTACTAGTCTCATTTCTTTAGCGTTAATAAATATAATTCATTAAATATAGGAACCATGTTTCTGGGTCTTGCTCGTTCGCGCACGCGAAATCGTGTCAGTGACGGGCATCGGGGGTGTTTTTTCTTTACCACCTTGTACACCGTCGTTTTCCCTTCCGTCCGCCATCTACGTTACGTTTTATACCTTGTTTGTTTCTTTTATCAAATTACAGAAAATAAAAAACGTTAAAAAAACGTACGTGCCGAGCCCAGTGTGTATGTACGTGTACAATGCGCGTATGTGTGGGATGTGTTTGTGTACGTGAGATGTTTTGAGTGAGAAAGTGGCAGAGAAAGATTGTGTAGTTATGTATGTATGTGTGTGTGTGTGTGTGTGTATATATATATATATACGTTTGACTTGTATGAATTTTTCCAAAAATCGCGGATATATCTCAATTTTGCAAAGCGCGCGAGGGCGTTTGTGTTTTTTTATTTTTTTGAAATACTTTTTCCACGATCGCCGTCGAAGTCGCTGAACAATTCGCGACACATACGCACGCATGCGCACACATACACACGCACACACACAGGTCCGTGGAAAGCCACGTGCACACGCGCGTCAAAACGAGAAAGAGAGTGATAGAGAGAGACAGTCAGATATCTATATATATATATTTAAATATATATATAGATGTATGTGTATATATATATATGAATATGTACGTACGTATTCGTAACGATGGCGGCGTTTTTAAGTTTCGCGCGCCGCGCATCATCGTCTACCCTACACAACGCCGCGTCTACAAACAACCAGCGTCCGCTTGTATTCTCCTTCCGTTTCTCTTTCTTTTTTTTTTCTCTCTTAGTAACTCTGCTTTAAATCTTTTATTATTACTTTACATAGGAACGTTTAAGTTAGCCCACCTCGACGCGCGTCGTTTTTTTTTCGCGTCGCACGACGCCACTTTTTTCCCTTCCGGAAATTCTCCGTAATTCTCCGTCTCCTGTGCAAAATGTTACCGCGCGCATATCACTCCGATTACACGCGCCCCCGAGAGACGCGGCCCCAGAAGATCCCGATCGGCTCGACCAGGTTGCTGGCTTGACCAAGGTGAGTGATTTCTCCCCGGGCGATTTCCACCTAGACACCTCGTCTTTATCGAGTCTCTCTCTCTTTCTCTGTCCATTGCCACTCTTTTCTTCTTTCACAATTTTTTTTTTATTAATTTTTTTTCTTTCGTGCTACGAGAGGAACTTTGGAGAGCGCGCAACTTCACGGCACGCGCTGCGCGGGATTCGCATTACAAAAATAATAGGGCGAATCGGGGGGAAGGCGGGGGCCAGAAAGCAGAAAGGTGAAGTGAATGGCGATAGGTGCGCGATAATGGCGGTGCACAAACGACGAAAAATTAAGAGAAAGAATCGACGATTCTCAATGGATCGTCGTGGTATCCCTTCCTGCCCTCTTGCCACCGCCTTAGGGCAGGCCGCCCCAGCGGGGTGCTTCATTGAAGAAGTGAGGCACCCATGCTGCCCGTCTATCGCCGAGTTAGGAACATTGGCTCGTCCACTGCGACGTCCTCGACTCCGACCTTCTCAAGCGACGCCCATCGGTTCTCGGTCTCTTTCATTTACACTCGTCTTCAGTACCTCCTTCTCCCTCCTCCTGCCACTGGCTTATTTCGGTGATCCCTGTGTGCGCATCTTGACCGTCTGTTCAGAAGAAACGACAGACCAACCCCCCCAGAACTTGTAATCACTTGGCGTTTAACGCGCACCGGCGAGGGCCGCGACCTCCTGCACCAGTTTCTGCCGCTTGGCGTCGGGTCCATTGTTGTTGTCCTGACCGGTCCTCTCGTTGGCCTGTGGCTGACCGGTCGTGCTCTCGGCGGCCGCGCGAGCCAGTAGGGTGATCTGATTAACGACGTCCTCCATTTCGTTGGTGAGCGGGTTCGTTTCCTCGCCGGATTGCGCGCCCCCGTCAAACTGTTGCTGCTGCTGCTGCCGCTCCTGCGCTGATTCGAGACGCGCGCGATGCTGCAACGTCTCGGCGTGACGACGCCACTCGGTCACGGTGGCGTAGGTGCGCGTCGGCACGCCAGGCTCGCACAGCGAGCACGCGTAGCGCGCCTGCACGAGACGCAGGGCGCCGCGACGCTGCTGATTGCCCAGGTAGCAGGAGCGCTGATGCGCCAGCAGCGTTGACTCCTGCGGATACGCTCGTACGCAACGGCGGCACACGAGGCACAACTCGGTCTCGACCTCGCGACAATGCTGCGGCGTCGGTCCGTTCTCGTCGCACGATGGCGGCAGACGCACCGTCTCCAGACCCGGATGATTCGGGTCTTGCTGCAGGAACGCCTGCATCAGGGCCCGCGGCACCTGCACCTGCGCGCCACCCTCCACTTGCAACGACATCAGACCGCTCCCCAATAGGCCACCGCTCAAGCCCGCAGCCGCTACTGAAAGCAAATCGTGATCGGTCCTCGTTAGAGCAGAGACACACACTCGTTCAGGTCTTGAATGGCAAACCGACTTTGTGTCAGTTCAGTTTCGCAAATCGCGGTATGATAATTACGCCGCTCCTCGAAACTGAACTTACACTGTTTCTCAAAGCAATCAACGTACACACGCACAAAACACATACGGGATTAAAATTAGGATTAGATTCTTCTACTTTCGCAACGAGCAAAGAGCAATTTGCGAACAAACGTCACGCGTTTCCCCCCCCCCCCAACATCTAGAGTTCTGCTTTGCGAAAGAATATTTTGAGCGATAAGCGAGCGAGCGAGAGTTCGCATTCGCGCGTAATTGATTTGTGCCAACTTAGTTGTCATAATAGCATCTCTCCCCGCGATAACCGGGGGAGAATTTATGCGGAACCTGTTTTTGCCGGAGCGAGACAGGTAAATTGGTAGTTATTAGCTGGCCCGCGGGCCGATGCGCATTGACGGGATAATTCCTGCGGGTCCGGATCGCCCGAACTGACCGTTTCTATCGAAAGGCTTCTGATGTTCGCCCCGGCGAATGATTAATTCTAATTTTCAAGATCGCGCGCCGCGAGGAACGAGGTTATTTTTGCTAGTTTTTATTTTTTATTTAATCGCGTGGAAGTTGAGGAGGTGGAGGAGGCGCGATGGAAGGTGCGAAATGCGTTTTATCGAATTAACATCCAACAGCGGATCCGCGCGCGCGCGCGCGAGAGAGAAGGACACGCGGGATCGCGTCGTAGTTCCCGACGTCGATTAGGTGGGTTGACAGGTTTATGCAGTGACGCGTACGGTTATATCGCGCGTATCGTGTATCAGATGAGGAGTCGTTACGAGGCAGGAAGTGTTAATGATACCCCTGCCCATTCGCTGGACGCTCGGCTGTAATTATCAGAGTTGGTGGGTCGCGAGGAAGACGAGGAGCGACGAGAACTTTCTCTCTCTCTCCCTCTCTCGCCCGTTCCTCCGGTTCGTCTCTCAACGTCGGCGTGGAATTGATAGTTATTAGACGACGTGCCAGGAACTCCGTTCGCGCCCGGTTCTCTCGTAATGAGAACCCCTGGACACACGCACGGCAGTGTCCACTGTTTGACTAACACTTCTCTCTCTCTCTTTCTCTCTCTGTCCTTCTCGTTCTCTCCTCGAGATTTCCTCGTTCCCTCACGTGGATTATGGTTTACCTCGATCGAGCGAGCAAATAATCCGCGTTTTTATGCCCTGCCATCGAAAGGGCCCTTCTTGGAAAGTGGAGGCACTGTGCAGTAAAGAAGGGGGAAAAGTGTTACGGATAAATGGGGGATTAGCGCAACAACATTGGCCACGGTGTATAGTTCTGGTCGCTCTTCTCTGCGTGCGATCTCTCTTTTTCTCTCTCTCTCTCTCTCGTCTTACGGACTTTGCGCGTAACGTTCACGGGAATGTAGCAAATTCATTACCGCGAGTGTAGTCCACGGGCTCGCTTGTCCTCCGCGGAGGTAAGACTCTCGCTCTTCTTCTTGTTGTTTGATATAATCGGCTGAATAATGACCGTCGCGTCGCAAATAACGCGTGCGCGAACGACGGGCATTATTGTGGAATTAAACTATCGTTTCGCGCCTCGAAAAATAATCTCACGCCGAGGCTTCGTTCTAATCCCCCCTTTCTCCCCGCGTGCGAGCGAACCGTTCGGAAACCATTTCTCTCGTTTATTTTTCGTGATAACGCTCGATCGATTTCCAGAACTCCTGATGATAATGACATTTTTATTATTTCGCACCGGCGAACTGTATCGCCCGTGCGATTTCTCGGACGATAGACTCTCTTCCTTTCAAGGTTATCGCCGATACTCGTCACCGGCGCGAGAGAGTGTGTCGGAGCGAAGAGATATATATGCATGTATGTGTAATATAATAAAAAGAAGATCGTTAAAAGAACGAGCGCGCGTAGAGTCGCAGCTGGACGATCCCGTGTGACACCCTTGAAACAATCGGAACGAGTCGAGGAGAGGGATTATTACTCTTAATGAGCACTGGTTATTTCTTTGAGTGGCTTTGATTCGTCCTCCCTTTCCCCTGACGACACCTCCTCCGAGTCAACAAAGCTCGTGTTGTGTGCGCGTGTATAAGACGGGACGCACGCACGCACACGCTCGCAAACAACACGCTCGTGTCACTTTCGTGTCTCTCTTCTCCCTCTCCCGGTCTTCTCGCGGAGGGGCTCATTTGCGTACGGATTGAGATAGTAGTGCTTCGGTAACACGTCGCGATGTGTGTTTTTGTTTAAATGTGTGTGACCGCGCGCGCGCGAGAGAGATTCTGATTGCCGGCCGCTCCCAAGTCCCCAGTGATCGTCATCGCGCTCATTATTTAATTTCACTTTAATCCTTTGCGCTGGGAATTATTCTGACCGTGATACTAATAGAGCACATTTATACGATGCTCAATCGCGCAAACATCACCCTGTTGAAACAAGCGCGCGCGAATTTTCGCTCCGCAGTTTGCGACTTGAAGATAAATCTTTATATTTGCTCCCGCAACTGTTACGCTTCTCAAATTGCGAATTGAGAGATGGAAAATGTTTGAGAAACGCTCAAGTGTGGAAACGACACTTCTCCGTGTGTGTGTCACGATCTTTTTTATTTAATTGTTGCGAAAATATTTTAAAAAGAGAGACAGAGAGCTCTTCTTTGGATTCTTCTTCTTTCTCGGATCCTTCTCGGATATGAGAACCGCTGACTTTAAGATTGTCGCGACATATGCTGGAAATTTGTTCGGCGGGAATTTACGAGCGAGTTTCCGTGTCAGACCCAATACACCGTGGACACTCTCCGCTGGCAAGAAAGTAGAAGTATATAAGTATATAAGTCTGTATATATATATTCCCCGGCAACCATAAACTCGCATTCGAGGAACAAAACAATCGTCGGGAAGAACGTCGTTAGTTAACGCGTTCAGGAATTTTAACGGCTGCACCTCGGCGGAGGCGAGCGCGCGCGGAAAAATGTAATTCGTCATGCGTGTTGTCACGACGGGCGACAATCGTTTCGCGATTACGGGAGAGAATGTTCCTCGTCATTGCCCTTCTACTCGCTTGCGAATCACGGCGTGCGCGTTGACGTCTTCGGAAGTTCGATTCTGGAGAGAGACGCGCGTCGCCAAGCTATGGCGATCGAGAAAGAAAGTCGACGCGATATCGCTCGTATCGAGGTAACAAACGCGATCGTTCATTTTCCGTGCCAAATTTCAAACGGAGAGAATTCCGTTCGCCGTTTTGCTGATCAAACGACGATTCGAGATTTAACGTGGAATTTTTAATGATTTTGCGAGACATGCATCGCGCGCGCGCGAGAGAAGCTCGATCCGTCAGCTCGGGCGAATTCATCCTCGCGAGAGGATGATCTCTCGGAGGGGAGCTCGCACACGCGGTGAGGATCGACGCGGAGAGAGTCCATAACTGCCCGTTACGCGAAGTATGCACAACGGTGCATTCCACGTGTGCGTGCTAGCGCGTTTCTCACGTGGTGACCACCGCACACGTACATAGGAAAACACGTCGTGAACGTGGGCGTGCATTCCTGCCTTCGCATTATCTCTCCGCTTCGCCTCCTTCTTTCTCTCTCTTTTTCTCTCATTCTCTCTCTCTCTCTCTCGTTCACCGTTTGTCTACCTTTCCCGCGCTTTCTCGGTGTCCTTCTCTCTGTCTCTCTTTCTTTTTCTCTTCCTCTTTACCATCCTCCTCGTTTTCGCGCCTCTCTCTTTTCCTCTCTCGCGCGCGCCGACCACGTACGAGAAGGAATCCTCTTTCCTCTTTTTATTCCCCCATCTCCGGACCCGTTATCGTGGATACCATGGCCCGGAACGACTGTTTCACACCTCCGCTCGCGCGGGAATTAGGAAATAAATTAGCGACCGGGCTAATTTTGTTATCTCTCCCGATGCGACCGTCTCTCCCGCCCCGCTTGAGACGTCAAGGCCCAACGTGTTGGGAGGAGGAGGACCCGAGTCGAAATCGTGTCCCGTGCAGGATCAAGCGCTCGGTTCTCGGTCGCGCGGCGAGCGTTGGGGCTTCGTTAAAAACAGGTCAATCCCGATTAAAGTGACGGCCGGGAGGTAAGCTACGACGCCTGGTACTTCGCCCCCCCTCGGGCCATATTCGGAGAATCGCGATAACCACTCTTGTGTAATTAACTCACGGCGAGGAGATGTTTCTGGGAAGTGGCGTGGAAACAACGCGCCATAACTTATCCGATTTATTTTGTTTAATTCATATGACACTGTGTGAGTGATTTACGACGTTTTTTACACTTAAACGGTCGGGAACACGTCCCGAACGCCAGATAAGGAACAATCGGGAGAATTGTTATCGACGAAAAAAAAAAGAAAAATGAAAAATTCAATTACATTATTTATTTTTCAAAGAACGACACGACGCGAGAATTTCGCTGCGCGTGTGTGTGAGAGAAAAAAATCCCCACTTTACAACTTTTGAAATTATTTTTATCGCGCGAAATATAAAATATATAACGGGGGATGCGAGGAATAAATGTTCGGTGCGTTTTTTGTGGCCAACAATCGAATGCGCGCGGACACTAAATGTCGATTCGGACTGTCCCGAGTCACCTGCTCATCCGGCCGAAGGTTTTAATACCTGGGCGATGTTTCGGCGTAAGCGCCGTTTCCCCAGCCCCCTCCCCCGCCTCGCCTCTTCCTTAGAAAATGTTGGATGTTGGGGATCACGAGGAAGTCGTAATTTCCACGCGAACGAGGCGGACCCGAAGTAAATTGACGACGGCTTATCTCGCGGCTCGGCCACGAAATCGCTTCGTACGCGTATCGGACAAGATAACGGCGTCGATGTATCGATAAATTCCGCTAATTAATTATTGACGTGTCCCAGGGCTATTTTTTTTGCCCTCGCTCTCCGCACGCGAAAGCGAAGAGATGCCTCCTCCTCCGTTCTTCTTTTATTCCGAATTCTTTTTATCGCCGACTCCG